GGCCCCCGGCTTCACAGTGAACACCAGCTTGCTAGGAACAATCACCAATCGAGGATCTCGTCTCAAAGCCGCGGCCTCAGTCCCTTTATAGCGCTTGATTGCTGGCATCTTCTCCAGGGCTGTGAGTTCTGCTTGCATAGCTGGTACCCATTTGTCGACCACTGGTAGTACTTCACGAGGATCAACTGTATGGGTGACCTTCAGAGGATTGTCGTCATTGACCTTCTCAAGCAACTCCTCAATGTTGGTTGTATATAGAGTTTCTGGAGTTGCCTTCATCATCCTTGCTACATCCGGACCATCGCAAGCCTCTGTGTCCACCTCCACAAACCGTAACAAGTCTTGTGAATCATCAACAGAGATAGCTGCTAAACGTGGTGCTCGCCCCCTTGGGTCGACATCAGGGGGTCTGGGATCTTCGGAGCCCCTCCAAGCATGACGTTGGTCTTCGGGAAGTGCACGATGAATGACAATTCTCCTTTGCATCCAAAACACAATCATCTCCTCCTCATTCGTCACGAGGTTATAGATCTTGCAAGCCTTGAGGAAAGTCGAAGTGAACCCTTCTGGTCCGTGATCCGGGATTCTGGTAGTCCTCGTTCCCAGCATTCGTCCAACATGAAGCTCCTCTCCTTCTTCCGACATCAAGAAAATCCTTGGAGCGGCCTCCCAATCTCGATCCACATCTGCTGCTATGGCGGCTGGAATCACTGAGTTCAGGTTCCCTTCTTCAGGCTCAATCCTCCGCCATCTCGCTGCCATTTCAGCAACGTAGCGATCTGGTCCATACCGTGCGATCGTTGTATACCACTCTTCCTCGGACATCCTGATGTACATAAATTCCTCCACCGGCTCCAATTCCAGCTCACCCTCTTCTTGTGGTGCGGGGCCTGGTTGTTCACCTTCTTGACCGATGAGCTTGCACATCCTCGGACTCTCTGATTCATTCGTAGACAAAGAGAAACCCAAATCCAACGCAAGGTCCTCGTCCTCCTTCTTAATCTGATTGAGACCACGGACCTGGTACACAGCCATCACCAGTCTGTCGCCAGTCCACGGCATCGTCGCGTGCCATTGCCTTGGATTGAACGAAACCACTTCCTTTGTCCCCTCCTCAGATTGCAATGGCCTCACACGCCCACGCTTCCCATCCAAAA